AGTTGGATTTTCTTATGGGATAGAGAAAATTGAAAATATATTTTGCATACAAATTTTATAGGCAACTTATCATATTTGGAATTAAATAAGAAAAAGTTTAGGCAGATTTTAAATAAAAACAAGAAAATGCTGGCAAGTAGCAATCTAATATCTTTTTACAGTTTCTTTTTCTATTTGTTTAAATTTAGTTGTGTAACTAATTTACATATTACCCTAAAAATCACATAGGGCAACCCTAGATTAGATAACAGAGATTAATTATTGACCTAATAGCCCACTCATTATGATATCTATCACACTTTTGTTGTTTACCATTTATAGTTGCATAGTGATTTAACTTTATTCTCAACCTAATTTTGTCTTCAAAGATCAAAGGATAATTATACTTTACAACATTTTTTTATAACTTTTTAACATCGTTTACGTGTCATTCTATGATTGGTCCAAAATTATTCCATAATCAATAATAATAATCATAAACACCAACATGGATCAAAAGCTGTCGATTCATCCTGATGTTCCGTGAGTACTCGTCCTCACGTAGAAGGGAGTAGTTCATGTGTGGGAACGGCAGGAGGTTCTAGTCCTTAGGGGTACTTCGGACAGATAGGATTAACCTCGGGTGGTAGCTGTTGAGTGTATCCCAGTTACTACACCACCCGGGTGCACGAACGTCGTAGCTACACAGATGTCATACAGTCCGGACGGTCAGTCTAGTGATAGGCTTGGTATGATACATATGTTGAACTTCTCTTGCGTGGTGGATTGTTTATTATATATGTATGTTAATGCATGAATTAAATTATATAAGCTTACCCTGTGTTTTTCTTGTGTTGTCTTGTTGTACGTCCGTCCTTGTCGTTGCAATGATCATCCGTGTGGATGTGGGCAGATGGAGACGCGCTACTTGACAGAGTAATGGCCAAGCACCTTAATCCTCATTATTCATTCCATCTAATAAAGTCTGAAAGTGCTCAATATATATTCAGCACATTGTACAAAATAAAAAGAAGAAAATAAAGAGGATTACAGCCTGTCTAGCACAATAACAGAATGCTAGAAATATCTACCAAAATCTACCACAGTAACAGAAAGCAAATAAACATAACAAAACAGGGGTAGAAACGATATTTCTCACACTACTGGAAGAGGCGCTGGAAGAAGAAAACTTGGTAGATGTAGAGGTGAAGACCGAACAGTAGGAGCGTTTGGATTGTAGTTAGTATTTTATTTTGAGGTGATCATTCGGTCACCTCCTCTCTTTTGTTTAAGTGACCGTTCGGTATTTGGCTTTTGTAAACCGTTCGGTCACGTTTCTTCTCATCTGATACAGATTTATTTTGGTAGCTTATGTATGGCCGTTTGGCCAGAACCGTACGTTCTTTTGAGATGTTAAGACTGATCTGAGTTATTATTAAATGTTAATATTCTATTATATGGTATGTTGATATATTTTAGGATGTTACATATCCGAAGGAAAACATAAAGTTCAGTAAAAAAAAATGTAATATATGAAAAATTATGGTTTGTATATTCTCCATCACTTCTCAACTCTCAACAACCCACTACCACTTCATTTTTACAATAATCCTGATTCATTACCAGAAAAAACGAAAAAGAACCATCATCAATATTAAAAGTGATTTCACTTTAAAGATTATTTTATACGTCATCATCATAAATTTTTTATTTTTCGTTATTAATAAAAAAACATATATATTTTAAATATGTAATTATAGTTATAAAGTGGTTATTATATTCTTTATAAGTTTTCTTGCAGTGCGCGTGACACAGGAGTAACTAATTTTGTACAGTGTATTTGTTTATTATTTAGTCTTATTAAAACTTTGTATTAATTTGAATTTTTATAAAATAGTTTAATTGTTGTTTTATTCACGCCCATAACATTACCTTTTAAATCTTGCATATATTTGTTATTAAAGTTCAAATGCTAAGACGCTTTATTTAAAAACCGTTACAGAAAAAATTTCATAGCCCTAAATTAATATAACATACTTAATTAACCTATCTGAATATAATTCAGTGTTATTATTATATTGTTATAAATTTAAGTTGGTATGTTATTTTTTAGCGCGCTGACATGATCTCTTACACTGCTAATTTATTATCATTATGTGACACATGTTGCCGACTTTTCACATAAAATAAAACTATTCAATTATTTTTTTCTTCTTCTAATTTTTAAATATACAATTAAATTTATCCGGTTAACATTAATTATGACAAGAAATTTTTATTCAGGATGGAATGCATTTTTCTTTATTTTTTTTAATAGACGAAAGTGAGATATTATTTATTCTTATCTATTTTTTTAATCAAATAATCTTTTTTTTACTCATTTTTTACTTGTTTATCTTCATCAAACAGTTGTCATTCTCACTTAATTTTCTTTTTCTTTTTTCATTCGATGTTCTCTTTACCAACCAGAACATTAATTTTTAACATAATTTAACTACTTTACATGATTTTACACATTCGTATGATTCATAGAATATTGACATACATAAGAAAATCTATTTTAAACTTTATTTTGAATAAAAATAAGTTTTATATTACTTTTGAATACTCTAAATTGTATGATATGAGTTTTAAATTAACGAAAATACGAACAATAAAAAAAATCAAATTATAGAGTATTCGTTTGAAAAATATGGATATGTCTACATTCATTTTTACTAGTTTGGTTATGGAAAGCACGTCTAAATTCATTGAATTTGAATATACAGAATGAGACCTGAATTTTGCATCTTTTGAACCACTGGTTAACTGCCACGTGTCCATTGCTTTGTTGCGCATGCACCTCTTTATTTTGACTTAGTCAATGACTAATTCACTCTACTATTTTATTTATCAATCGCTAAGCTTTTTTTAATGATCCACGTTCCGTCAAATTTTCGTAAGCACATACTTCAAATCTTCATTTTAATCTTTCACAAATTAAAAGAGAGAAAAGAGACAAACAATACCAAATTTAGTTCAGCTGTTTTATTCATCCAATTTCACCTATTTAAATGCACAAGATTTAATATCTATGTGTTTTTATTTATTTATTTTATATACCATTCAACTTTTTCATTTTCATTTACTTTGTAAATTTCGATTCATATTTAGATTTTTGACAAAAATGGATTAATTCACTTTCTGCATTTGATTTACCGATCAACTAAAAGCAAGTAATAAAGAAAAAACTGAGAAGCAGGAGTAAAATTCAAACTTACCATGACGTTATAGGAGCTTCTCCAATGGCTTCAACAATAAGAATTTGCTGAATTTGGAGGTGGAGAAGCTTCAAATTCGCAGCGTCCTTTAATCTCTAACGCAAAACACACAGAATGAATTGAAGTTTGTAGACAATTTTGAACTTCAAAACCTCCTTTAATAGCAACGAAAACTCTACCGATAGAAAACTATCAAAACGATCATTTTCTTAATTTAGAAAAAAAAAATGAATTTTTGATGTAGACTTTTGGATATATGTTGTTGATTTCTTCTGCATGGTCTCTTTGTCTCATGCGTACACATTCATTTGTTTATTTTCCTTTTAAATTCATTCGTAATATCATAACAAAAATAATATGCAGTGGTATTTAAATTGTTAGATTCTACACTACAAAGGGAAAGAAACAAAATAGGGAATCTTATGGTCTGTCCGTTATTTCTGATGCCACACCAGCTAGTCCGTTTGACAAAAATAAACTTTCATTAGATTAAATATAAATAAAAACATTTTTTTGTTAATTTATCGAGATACAAAGTAAAAGATTAGTTATTTATGTCAACAACAAGTCCAGAGAAAGAAGCTGGTGAGTGAAAAGATAAAAACTGCAGCGTCCAAAGAAAAAATTTCTTCATAAATTATTGGGCCACGGGCCACGGGCCACGACGAAGAAGCTAGGCCCAGTCCAAGTTGAAGCACTCGTGAGTAGCCTTGTGAGAGGCCAGTGCTGTTGTTGCATTGATTTCTATTTAAGTATTGTTTGGGTTATGAGTTTGTGGTTAGTTGTTTATTATATTTAGCGCGGTTAAAATGGGTTAGAACCTATGGATTAATTTCGTCTTTTGATACGGGTCAATTTTTAACTTGGTATACTTAAAACTCGGCTTACTTAAATTGAACTGATCGTGGTGAACTGACTCATTAACTTATCTAATTTAATTTAATTATTTATTAATTTATGTTTCAATATTATTAGTTAATACTTTTTTATTGTGTTATAGATTAGAAGAAAAAAATGTGTTTCAAAGAGAGAAAAATATTATGGATTCATCTATTCAAGATTTTAATATTATAATTGGATCAGTGACACAAAAATGATCAAGTTTATAAAGTTATTTGTTCGCTTTTTGTGTTTGGTTTTGGATTACATTTGGATTGTTTGGTACTTTTTTTAATTTTGAATTGTCAATGAAGTTTAACATCATTTTAGAGTGAAATTTATTTAGATTTGAATTATAATTTTTTTTAGATTTGAAAAAAAAATTCTAATTAAGTGACTCAGTGAATCAACCCGTTTAACTCACCAACCCATGGTGGGCCAAACCGGATTCAAATTTTTTTGGCTCGCTGATAAATGAGTTAGGTTGGATTGACTCACTAAGTGACTAACCCGTGGTGGATCGGGTTACTCGTTTTGACGACACTAAATCTCTCTTGACAATCCAAATTTTGTCCTAACCTTATGATTATGGTTGGTTCTAATTGTTCTAATTGTCCTTTATAAGTAAGCAAATATTTGACCGTTACAATAATAAATACATATTAAATGTTATCATATGTCTTTTTGTCTTTTATAAATTTTGAAATAAGTAATTATTTAATTATAGTCTATTTGATAATAATCATAGTTTATCGGGAGGGAATGAATATTAAATCTAATTATCCTAACTTAGAATGACATTTTGTAACTATTATTGTGACGTGTCTGACCATTCCATCTTTACTGAATGGCCATAAGATAGCAGTATGAATGAACATTTGCTTGAAATAAAAAAAGTTGATATTTTTAACGTGATACCAAGTCATCCAACATGAATCTAAGCACAAACATGAAATGTTGCAGTGGTAAAAGCAAGAAAAATTTGGAACATTAGTGCAGTGGCTCTAACAATTCCAGAACTCAGCCCTCTTGACCTTAGAAATGCTCTGAAGAACTCCCACCGGAGAAACGTATCCCATCACTGTCACCCTCTTCGACTCCACGTCTACACTGAATGATGTGACTCCTGACATTGCATTGTATATGTTCAAAACACAACCTTACTTTACTTACTACACCATTTCTACCTACATATAAATTTTATCAATTTCAGATTATCAAAATATATATGCAATGAACCTTCCATCTTAGACAGATGCTTTTTCACTTTACCAGCGCATCCTTCACAGTGAATAGAGACCTTCATCACAACCACCTGAACATAAACACATACATAACATAACCCCTTCAAAATTAGAGAGTAAAATGCAAAGATAAGAGAAAAAAAAAAGTGATTTGATGAATGAAAGGGAAAAGCAGATACAAACACTGTATAACTGTATTATAAAAGGATAATAATAATTTGACAATATTTTTTTAACAATATTTTAACGTTATTTACATGTCGATTGGTCTAAAATTATTTTATAATCAATAATAATAATAATCATAAACACTAATATAGACCAATCGCAAAATGACACAATAATGTTAAAATATTATCAAAAATTATTGTAAAAGTTTCATTATCCATTATAAAATTGCAGCTTAACGTATGCATGTACGCGTATAAACTAGGAGGGGAGATAATTAGTGCTCTACGTCGCTTTGCAGAGTTCAGCAGTGATACAAAATGTACAACTGTTGAGGCATAGTTGACCAATGTATTTGACCATACTGGCAGTAGTGGCAGAAAAGGAAATACTCTGACATGTGCAGCAAGAAAATGGAAATCCATTTCCTTTTCTTCTGTCTATTATTTTGGACTCATTATATTAATATGCTCACAGCAGTTACTTACTGTTTTAAGAATTTGAATTGGTAGTTTTGAACTACTATACAAAAGAATTAAAATAGGTCCTTTCATTTGTTTTTTTCTTAAAGTTTAAGGACTTGCTTTGATTAATCGTAACACTTTTTTCAAATTTTTCCCAAAGGGACTCATCATTTGCGTGATATAAACAGAATAGGTAAAGCAAAGGACAATACAAAAAATTCTACAATCATGTAAGAGAAAGAAAGGTTAGCTTGCAAAAAATACTATTAATTTGTACAAAAGAAGAAAAAAAATCAATCTGTACAAACAAAATATGGTTGCACAAAATCGTATCCACAAGAGAACTTAATTGTATTGGTTATTAGGTTGTCCCATACATGATTAATGATGCATTTTCCCATAACTTCAATTATTTTATGAATAAAGATTAAATATATAATCAGTGTCTTGAACATGTGAAATATACGTATAATATTCCTAATACAAAAGATTAGTAGGAAAACAAGGAAGGAAAAACTATAAGTATCCGAATGGTTCAAACACTAATACTTTCTGTCTTAAGTTTTTTCCTGCAACGAGTAGAATGGCTTACAAAAAAGAAATGAAGGAAATGTTTGTAATTTGCATTGCATTTGACATGGAATGAGAAAGTGTGAACCTGGAAGACATGATCTGCTGTCGTTTTGTGAAGTTGGCTTGATCCATTGTCTTGATCTTGGCTACTCTGCTGGATGTTTGCTGAAGAGAGAGAGTCACATTTCTTGTGAGCTGCTGAATTGAAGGTGGCAGTGGCAGAGTGAACAAGTTTGGAGTAGCTGGAACAGTTGAACAACCTTGTATCATCCAGAGAAACACTTCTTTTATGTATCTTACTCCTACTCCGAGGCACAACCACAGACCAAACTGCTGTTGATGCCTCAGAGGGGCACATGAAACCGTTCCTCATTGTCCTCTTCGCGTTTTTCAGGCTCATCACAATATGAAGATATTCTGAGGGAGGACTGTGTTTATCAATCTTATGCTTAGAGAGATATAGTTGGCACTAACGATGGCTTTCAAAGTGGAAGGAACCAGAAAGTGACTATAGAATAGAAGAGAGACGTGCTGTCATTATGATGTATGTAACAAATAACAATGAGTTCACTGGAAGAGTGGAACCCTTTTGTCATTTTATGTATTATGCATATGTCTACATGTATATGACCTTTAAAGAGTCCAAAATCACGTCCTTTTCAGCTTTTAATGCTGAGAAATCGACGCTAACCCTTTTTGCTGTAATCGATTACAAGCACATGTCACAGAAAATCACATTAGAGCATGGATTTCTTGTATTATTTGTATCTTTGGATTTTCTTATTGTTGGAAATCCAAGTGTGAGTCTAAGTAACATATTGGATAGAAATAAGAAAGTAAAACATTGTATAAAGATGAAAAATCCATTACTTTTAAGTTTTTGGATAGAAAGTGGTGTCAATCCTTTATATTGTTAGACTCATATATCATTGTTATTATGTCTCCCCAATGAACCAAGCTCTGTGTGAATATCAAAACTAAAGAACTCTTCTTTTATCCTCCACTCATTATTTTTGACCTTAGCCAAATATGAGTGATGGGAGTAAGAAAAATACAAAGGAGCACCTCGTCAGTATCCTCCACAGAAAATTAGGTGGCTGAAGAAGTAGGGCACCCTTTGTTACAAGATATGGTCGTTTTCTTTGTCTTCTGTAAAAAGGTTATAGCCACTATTTAAGCATGGGCGTTAGGTATATAGTGGAAAAGCTGAAAATGTAGTTGGATAGCGATGCATCAAAGGTATTTAGTTGATACACAAAAATGGCTAAAATCAATGGGGAGAGATCGATGCAGACAACTGTTACAAGTTGCGGAGCATTGCTCTTACATGTTCAGCAAATCAACTAATCAACACACATACATACAAGAATCAAATTACTAAATGCTGTGTAAGACTATGTATGATTATGCAACACGTAGGAGGTAGAATTAGAAGATGATTAAAGGAAGCAGACATGACTGATCGAAGCTTCCTTAATGATGATTGCATGAGTTCTACATACGCACACTGCTTT